CCTTGGGAACAGGTCGTTTAACTGGATAGGCGAAGATGGTTTCGGGTTTGCGTTGGCCTTTGCGGTGGGCTTCGGGTGTTACGAGCCATTCGCCGCCGAGGAGGGAGTGGTCGCAGCGGAGGAGGCGGAAGGCATTGTCGACGTGGTTTTCAATTACAGACAGGTAGCCGGTGAGGGATTCGTGGCGGGCGAGGAGGGTGTATTGCTCTGTTGCCATGAGGGTTGAGTTTGCGAGTTGGAAGCCATGGGTGGAGGGGTGGTGAGGGTTTGCCCAGAGGGTGTGGAGGATGGCGGGAAAGGCGAGGAGGATGACTCGGGAAGGGCTTAAGAAGGCAGAGGCGGATCCAACGAGCATTTGCAGACCGATTCGTGTGAAATAGATCGAGGTTCCGATGAAGCTGGGGATCAAAGCGCTGCTCAGCTTGGCCACGTTTGAGACTGCAAAGTACGACACCACTGGGACCACTTCTTTGATGGGCGATGTAGATCCAAACCGGGAGATGAAGACGTAGTCCATCAGGTCAGCAGCCGCATATACCGACAAGAAAAGTAGGGGAAAGTATGTCAAGCCCTCGATGATCATCGGGCCCCAGACGATTCCCAAGTCGGCGCTGTACTGGAAGAGAAGATATTGCACAACGGGTGCCCAATACGCAATGACAGCAATGTAGTCGGCGACAGAGGAAGACACATATTTTCGAAGCTGGTATCGTGACAGCAAAGCCAGACCAGTGAAAATCTGCATACACCGTTGATGATGGGCTGATGCTGGAATGGACCCGTAAACCGGTGACAAGTTGAGTTGCGAGACGGGTGAAGCAAAGCCTGCAATAAGGAGAAGTGCGGCTGCTCGACCGAGGTGCTTAAGTTTGGTGGATGTTGCGAGTGTTGACGCTGGTTGTCCTTGCTGCTGAGCTGCCTTTTCAGCCTTGGACTTTTTCTGTGTCTTGTTCTTCGAAGACATTGTGGCGATGTCAGACAGAAATTTCCCCCTTTTCTTATACTAAAGTATCGAACCCACTCGCTTCCAAGGATTGAGAAATTCGCAATTGAAAAGCGCGAGAATGCGAAAAGACAGTTGCCAGAGATCCAAGTATTCCAAGCTCTTGTCACCTACCACTCTGTTCGGGCCGTGCTTCCGATGATTGAACTCAATCTATCCGATTTCATTCGTCCTGCGAACTATGTCCAACCACCACAAGTACAAGAACAAGACAAGGAAGGAACAGGAAAGCAAACGACGAAGAAAATAAATGCGCAACTGTTCCTGGCGGATGTTTGATGCACGGATGAAACGGGCGATCATTACCGTAGGGTGGAGCGGTTCGGAACTGCGCGCGTTTCAGGCAAGGCGTGTGGCGTCGGGCGTGTGGCGTCGTCATCCGTCAACACCACACCATGATGGGCGTGTTCTCGGATTCAGCCTCGCTCTTCCTATCCGAACCTGGATCACAAAGTCTACGGTTACGAGAGAATGCCCTACATGACTAGCTCGCCGCCTGCACTGGGCACTCTGGCATTCCGCCCCGCCAGCGCGCCCGAAGCCGTAGAGCGGATAGACAGCCAGACCAGTCGACATGGCGAAAGCACACCAGAGATATGCATGGAAGACGAAGTAGACGAATCCCTCCTACAAGCCCAGCTGCTCCACCAAGAGGAAGAAAAAGCGCAGCGACTCATTGCCAAGAATCGTAGGAAACGTTATCTAGAAGTCCACCCCGAATACTTCCACGACACCTCGCTCGAACTCGCGCACCCCCTCCTCTACGACCGTCTCATCCGCCGCTTCCAAACTGCCGCCGAGCGCGAAGCCGAAGGCCGCAGAAAGGGCTTTTCAGGCCAAATGGCAACGGACCTCTGGCGCGCGGAAGCGAAAAAGGACGCCCTCGGACAACCAGATCCATACTCGTTATTCGTGTACTCGCGCGATCCGCAGGGGCATATTATGGAGGAAGACAAGGACGATGTGCCCATGAGCAAGGAAGAAGGGCGGGCGTGGTGGGTGGATGAGATGACGCAGCGGTTTCTGCGGGGCGGGGACGACGACTTTGAATATCACAAGGTGGATAATAATCACGAGTATGATGACCCCGAGGCGGAGAGGGATTTGCAAGATGCCTGGTTTGAGAGTATGGAGAGTGACTTTGACTCGGATGGGGAGGGCAAGGAAAAGGTGCTCACGGGGGAGACGGGCATACAGGATTATTGACTTGACATACTTGACGGCGTTTGATGTGGAGGTGAGGTGAGATGATATCGTGACTTGGTGTACTGTGTAAGTGCGTAACTACATTGATTATTGATGGTGTTACCACGACTAACAGTATTAGGCTCCAACAACGATTACAAAGAGTCCTTGTCCATCACTACACAATCACCAAGTTTTCCCAACTCCTCCAGCATCATATATCCATCACGGCCACCCTCCACCAGCCATCGCTCCCTCTCCACGAGGAAACCCCACCTCCAGAGCATATCCAAAACGCGCTTCCCCGAACCAACCAGATCGTTCACAAGCCAAGTGCCGTTTCCCCAAAACGCGAGATGCAGCGCACACACAGCATACATCACAGCAACAAGCCCACCCGCACATACCCCCGAGTCCAGGAATCAATCTCCACCGCCAACGCACATCATCGAATTACAACTGCCATGATATACACGATGCACCCTCAAGAGCCGGGCTACCGGGAATGTGCATCCCGAGTCCGCACTACCCTGCAGGTCTCGACGGTGGATATTCTGCCGGGTTATCGAGATTCTGGGCAGGAGGGGTGTGGGCTGGGAGGTGGGGATGAGTTATGGTAGGATGTGTGGTGTGGTGGTGTGGTGTTGGAGGTTGCGTGGGGTGAGGGGAAGGATGGAGGAGGGAAGAAGGAAGAGTATGTAGGAGTGTATAAGAGTGTGTATAAACCAAGAGAATAGGATGATAGGATGGTTCTAGACGAACACATATGTAACAAGGGCATGTTTACATTGTTGAACCGCAGTCAAGCGGGGTGAGACAAACAATTCCATTCCCACGGCCCGCGTTTTGGCATGGCTGGATTCACATTACATCACATCACAGTCATGCACCTATTACAAGATCAGATGACAACGGAACCCAGAATAACTTGGATATTCCCAACCACGCCACCCGAGACACCACGTTGCCTCCCTCCCCTCCATCGTAGCTACACCAAATCGTAATTCATATACAGTCACAACCTCCAAAAAAAGATAAATATTGCGCTATGCTCAAGGGGGATCATGATGAAAATAACCAAAAAAAAACAGCAAAAGTAGAGGAACAGGGCGAGTGGGTGGTCTACAAGAGCCAAGAGATGAACGTCTTGTAGAACCAGCTCGCATCCTTGCCATTGCTGTTTGCTTTCTTCATCGCCGCATGAGCCAGGAAAGCCTCTTCCTCGCGGTCAATCTCGCCCTTGCCTGTGTAAAAGTCTGCCTCGTGGGGCTGAACCATCTTGGACTTCATGAAGAATTTGTAGCCGAAGATGCAGCCGAGGTAGATGGGGATGCCCTGAAGGTTCTTGGTTAGTATAGAAAAAAAAATCGGCGAAGATGAGCAGGGATTGGAAACTTACAAGGTAGCCAGTGATGAAATTCTTGTAGTCAAAGTTGCCATACGAACCCCTTGTGAAGACGGAGAAGTTCTTGGTCAAGGCAATGAGGATGCAGAAGAAGAGGGCAATGTACGACCCTGTCAGGCCGAGTGGTGCCGTATACGCCAGCTGGTCCTTGGTGATGCCCTGAGCATTGCGTGCGCGGACGAAGAAAATGTGCGATACCAGGAGGGAGATCCAGGAGAGAAGTCCGAAGATGGTGGTGAGGTTGACAAAGTAGCCGAACACGACTCTGGCGTCGTCGGCAGCGTTCATAAAGGCGGTGCAGCAGAAAAAGGCGGAAATCAGCAAGGCAGGCACAGGTACACCGCGCTTGTCGGTCCAGCGGAAGATCTTGGGAGCGTGGCCTTGCTCTGCAAGTCCGTAAATGGTTCGGGATGCAATGTAGAGATCCGAATTGGAGGCACTGAAGGTGAAGAGCAGAATACAGGCGTTGAGGATACCGGGCAAGTGCTTGATACCCGCCAGTCTGATGGCCAGGACAAAGGGAGAGGCCGAGGCACCGGTCCTGGCACCATTGGCAAAGGCCAGATCTGGGGAGTCGTAGGGAACAATCATGCCCAGGAAGAAGACGGACAGACAGTAGAAGAACAGAATGCGGTAAAAGGTGAGCCTGATGGCGCGGGGAATCGTCTTGCGCGGGTTCTGTGCTTCACCGACCGTCACACCAATCAGCTCAGTACCCAGGTAGGCGAATACGGCATTGACCAAGGAAGCCCAGAATCCGTAGAACTTGCCCGCGTCTCCTTTGCCAAACGCTGGCGCAAAGGCACCTGGGTTGTTGTAGTACTTGAAACCAGTTGCTGGGCTTGGACCGGCACCGACTGCTAGCAGAAATGACAGGAGGATGACGCCGACCTGGGAAGATATGGTTAACACAACTGATTTGTGAGAAAGGATGGTTGGGTTCTTACAATGGTGATGACTTTTGTGGTACTCAGCCAGAACTCGAGTTCACCGAAGAACTTGATACCAAAGTAATTGATGGCGATGATGGTAACCAAAAAGACTGCAATCCACACACCAGGATTGACTTCCTCGGCAGTTTTCCATTCCTGAATAATCAAGGCAGTGGCAGTGAGTTGGTTAGGTGTCGTGATGATGTACTTGCACCAGTAGGTCCAGCCGAGAGCAAAACCGAGAGCAGGGTCACAGAATCGAGTAGCATAACCGGCAAAACCAGACGAGTGAGGGATCCAAGCCGCCATTTCACCGAGGGCAGTCATGACCACGTAGACGAGAAGACCGACGGCAGTATAGGCAATGAGGATGGAGGCAGGGCTATTGCCATTAGCAGGGGAGTCAAGAAGATGCCGTGTGTCTTGTATTCGTGACTTACCCAGACTGAGCCAGCGCTTTACCAGTACCAATAATAAGACCCGTTCCAATAGCACCACCAATGGCAATCATAGTAATGTGGCGCGACTTGAGACCACGGTGCAAGTGGGCATTGTCGGCATGGACAACGACACCGCTGGCGTCCGTGGCAGGAATCTCTCCAGAGTCATGTGTGTAACCAGACTTGGGTTCTGCGTGCTTCTCTGCATCATAGGATGGACGGCCCTCGCCACTGGAAGAGCCGGAACTTCTCTTCCAAATCGCCATTATGGGGGGATTGAGGGTTGTGTGTGCAACAACACGTGCTTGGTAAGGTGAGTGTTCCAATGGGCACCTCGAAAGCCACAACCAGGAGAGGACGAGGAAGAAGTGAGGGGCTGGTGGGCTCAAGGCCAAACAAAGTCTACACAAAGGAAAAGACTTGTCGGGGAGGGGGGGAGGGATGTGCCTTCAAGTAGGCAGGGAAGAGAGAGAGAGAGAGAGAGACAGCGAAGAAGGTTTGGACACAGTGGACAGGCCGAAAAGATCGCGTGTTTGACCGGTTCTTATTCAAAGGAAGGCAATGTACGGGGAGGGCGAAGTAGTCGGTCCACAAACGGCGCAGATAACGCAAGAGGACCAAGCAGGCCTAGTGTTGGTCGGGCGGCGTAACCTAAGACGGCCAAGAGCAGAATTTTGTAAGTAAAAGGATGGGGTGGAGTACGTGGAGGCGCTGGCTTCTGTGAGATAGCATCGTCGTGAGCGTTTTGGCGCGGCAAGAGAGGGCCTGGTGTGCCATGCCAATGTGCCAATCGCCCGGTCCAGCGATGGATCGAGCTGGCCAATGCGACTACCCACGAGCATGTCCTTCTTGAACAGGTTTGGCCGAGAGCCACAGGCCCTGTCTCCAGCCCTTGGCGATGGTCATGGCCCGGTGAGCCAAGCATTTACCCGACTCTTTATTCCATGGCGCCTGTGCACTTTGATAAGAACAAGCTCCACAGGCTGAGGGGGGTAGTGGGAGCGGGAGCGGTGACCAGAAAATACAAGCAGTGGTGGAAGGCGAACTTGTGCTCAGAACATCTGACCAAGCTTCTTTCGCGAGGCAGAGTTTGGGAGGCTCCGCCACCAACTTTCACGCCTCATCGCCCCCAGCCGCAAAGCGAAGCATGCGAAGCCGTATGACAGGTGCGACAAGCAACCGCTGCCCGCAAGTTGCCGCATCAGCAACCCCGCTCGCTCGCTTGCTTGGGGATAAGTGGGCTCGTGCTTGTGGAGGTGGGGGAGGCACCAGCCGCCTTCGTGTTGTAGGAGCAGATAGCAGTAAACATACTATACCGGTACTATACCTGGTAGTGCCCAGTAACAGGAGGAATGGCATGGCAGGTTGTGACGACGGGGGGCGGTCCAGCCGCGGTAGTTGACTTCGGGTACGGTAATGAATGGGTCAGGCCCAACTTGTACTCTACACCTAACGTTAGCACTCGACCGAATCAGCAACCACCGGCCATTGGTGCCACTTTCCAACCACAATCTGGACTGGACAGCATCGTGCCCTGTCCTGTCTGCAACCCCATGGCGGCGGACTTGCAACCGTAGCACCCTTCCTAGACGCGACCCGGAATATTGGCACGACGGGGATGCGAGAGAAATCAGAGAAATGGCTAGAAGGTGCAGGTGCAGGTGCCAGGTACTACCGGTACCGGACATACAGGACTTACCATACAAACCTGAACCTATCCCGATAACTCCTCTGTACGTACTATAGGTATACAGTAAACACTTACTGTATCTCTTCGCCCGTCCACTGTCCACGACTCCACGGTGGCAAGGTATTGTACACAGTACAGTACAGTGTCATCGTCAGCATCAACATCCGAACCAAGACTGCAACGCTTGCAGATGGATGGCATGAACCCGGCCCAATAGCTGGTTCCCCCAATTTTTTAAACCCTTTCCCAAAAAGTTGACCCCTTCAATCCCCCTTTCTTTGGGGGCCCACTTTTTTCCCCCCTTTTGTTTCCAAGTCCCGGGGGTTTTTATTTTGTTTGCCCCCCCCCCCCCCAAGAACAACACCTCATGGCATTTTCCGTCATGTCTTGGTAGGGCCGAACCGAAGGGCGCTTGCGACACCCCTCAGGCTTGTAGGCAGATAGGTACCTGTAATACCTGTGGACACAGTAGTCGTCCTTGGTTTCGTTTCGTATACCGATGCTTCCCTTGGGGCGGCCCTATTCTGCGAAAACCGTGACAGCATGTTTTGCGCTTAGCGAGCCCCAAGTGCAGATTCTGTTACCTACACGATTTCTGTGTCCCTCACGGTTTAAAACGCGTCCCCTCCCTAGGGCGCGGATCTGACATGTCGTTTGTGCATGGCGGAGAATCCGGGGGTGGGGGCGCCAGAATAGTTTTCGGAACGAGTTTGTGGAGAGGGCTGAGGTCTTTGCGTATCCTGGGGTCATGGCTGGAAGGATTCTACCGGCATCCTGGCTGCTGTGAGGTAATAGCTACCTATAGCTGGCCTGGCATTCTCGGTCGGCCGTGGAGGAATTAGAATTTCAAAAGGTCGAGCCCTATTGTACCTATGCACACTTGTATTCCTCCGAGGCCATCGGGGGAGCGCTGCACAGCTGGTCGGTCCTTCGTGCCGTTGCGAAATCAAAATAAGAATCGACCGAGTATTCGACTCTCATGCCGTGAATAAACTATGAGAAAGAAGACAAGAAGGGAAAAAACGTTGAAAAAGTCTGCGAGCGGAGGCCCCGAGGTTATAGAAGTGACTCGGTTCGGAAAACAGCCGAAGAAGTCATCAAATGGGGCTAGCATTGCGGAAAAGCAAGCCAGAAGGAAGCTGCCAGCACCGGCAAACACCTCTAAATCTTCCCATCTACGGTATTGACCAACATGCCCAATAGGAGCTCGGTAAACTCAAAATGCCGCTCAATTCATTCATGGTCATGGCATAACTCCAACTACAACCATCATCTTCTTCTTGTCATATCATCCTTTAACCACATATCCATCCCCCAACCTCATCCCCCCCAAAATCTCAATCAACCGCTCATCATACTCTGGCTGCACATCCCTCCCCCCCTCATCCAAACACCCCAAGTAATTCGTAATATCTCTCCCATCGCTCTCCCTAGCCTCAAACCCATTCCCTAAAAACGCAAACATATTCTCTTCGTCATACTCAATCTCAAAGTCCTCATACCTAGGCGCGTCCAACATCTTCAAGAAATGCAGCCGAGATCCCGGCCAAATGGCAGCCTGCCCGTCCACTTTGCCCTGCTTGAACCAGCTGCGACAGGGCGATGTCCACGCCGTGCGTTGCAGGAACAGGTCTGCGTGTTGGCGGAATGCGAGTGAGGGCGCAAGTTTTGGTGTGAGAGATTTGATGTTTTCGATTTGCACCTTGGTAATCGCTTGGAAGATGTAGCGTGTCCATTGTTCGATGAGCGGCATAAAAGAGCCATGGCCCAACGGACCGTATGGACCGCAAAAGGAAAAGGTGTTGGGAAAGTTGGGGATCCCCACGCTGAGGTAGGACGTCACGCTTTCTTTCCACATGTCGCGGACGTCAACGCCCTGGGCTATAAAGGGGAAGCGCGGGAGCCAGGTGGTGTTGAAGCCTGTGGCGCAGATTATGACGTCGACAGAGTGGGATTTGCCCTCGTGGTCAATGAAGCCGCTGGGCGTGATGGAGCCGATGGAATCGGTGAAGATGGTGGTGTTGGGTGCCACGAGGGCTTCCAAGTAGCCTGGGGCAGGCGTTGGGCGACGACATCCCGGGTTGAAGTCCTTGGGAATCATTTTCTCGACGAGAACAGGATCATGGTTCAGTTTTGTGCGCATCTCGCTATCGGCGTAGCTTCGTGCTGCGCGGGCTTCCTCGCTGCCCTTGAGGATGAATTTGAAGCGCTGGTTCAACTCATTTTCAATTTGTTTGCGGTACTCGAGGTACTTTTTAGGGTTCTCCTCTAGGAACTTGAGTTGCTCGTCACTGTCTGTTCGAGGTCAGCATTGTGGGAGAGAGGAATTTGCACGGTGTACTTGCACCGAAAGTTGGCACCATTCTTGGCTGCCCATTTTTGTGCAAAGCCTGCCGTTATCCAGATTGGCGAGCGGATCCAGTGATACAAATGTTCAATTTTCTTTTGTATTGCTGCGACGATTTGGACGCCTGAGCTGCCTGCGCCTATTACGGCCACACGCTTATTGGTCAGATCATAGCCTTCCTCATAGTTGGCACTGTGCATCAGCTTTCCCTTGAACTCATGCAGACCAGGTATATCAGGCCATTTCCAGTTGTTCAGCACTCCACCAGCATTGATGAAGAATTCAGCGCTGTCTTCAAGGACCTCGTCCGTTGCCAAGTTTCGCACTGCACAACGCCATAGTCCAGCCTTGCTGTCCCATTCCAATCGCTCGATACGGTGTCGTAGCTTGATGTACTTTTCAATAAACGTATTCTCGCGTTCAATCGATTTCAAATACTCCCAGATCTCGGGAGAATACGAGTAATAATGTGACCAGAGCTTGATCTTCCACGTGAATTGATAGTTGACAGAGGGAATGTCGCAAGCACAGCCAGGATATCGATTTTCTAGCCATGTTCCTCCAACATCACCATTCTTCTCGTAACAAACCATTTCCATATTTTCCATCTCTTCCTCGGCCTTCTTGAAGAAGTTCAACGATGAGGCACCAGCACCCATGAGTATCACCTTGACCTTTTTCTTTGTACCCATTGGCTGCTCTTTGATTCGGTAGCCATGTTCGTCTGTCTCTGGTGGGGCTTGGTCACGGATTCTGCTGCTCTCTTCTGCGCCGCCGTTGCCTGATGTCGCGTATCGTGGCCTGGGATCTGATTGGATGCCCATGTTGAGCGGTTTGGGATATGGGTATGTGAGAAGTTGGAGGTGATGGCTAGCAATTTCAAACTACACAGATGGACTTGATGACACGATGGTCATGGTTGAAATACAGCATGGCATACCTACTGGACCTCGGAAATGGGATTTGAAGTGCGGTGATAACGATGACATGAATGTGGAGGATCATACCGGTAGACAACGGCCTCGGATGCGGGGTAGAGTACAAACAGCATATAGCCTACACCATTTTACATACAGACGAGGCCACTCTGTACTTAGTATCTGGGTATTTGGGACTGATAGCCATACAAGATGAACGAGAGGCATGGTGAAGTATGCTGGTCGGTGGTCTAAGCTGCCGTCGTACACCTACCGTACCATGCCAGCGTCAGTGCCAGCGACTAGGTAGGTACCGGTACCCCGGTGACACGACTGCACAGCTGAGGCGAAGTTGTCGTGAGTCAAGGAGGTGTCAGTATTGTACAACGGTGTTTGGGGGCCGAGCGAAGATGCCTGGACAAAGGCGGATGGGAGTTGCGCTACCATACTCCTGAAATCCAGCCCTTGGAAGTTGGGGGGCAGTAGCAGCTGGTACGGTAATTGGCGATACCTATTAGCTAGGTAGTCTCATCAAACGGGCTGATCTTGGCTCGCCCATCGTGCCCAAGCTCGACTGCTGGGTGACTGACAGCAGTCCACAAACAAGCCATACATAGCCATATATCACCATTGCTCCATGCACCACCCACTTTGCTCCCATATTGCGGCCCAGCCCTTTTAGCTAGAGAGCAGTAGTTCGCAGTGAGGCGGATTGTCGCAGTGTCTTTTCCACTCCCAACGGCCCGTTCCCCGCGTCAAGTGGCCCGACAGCCAGAACCCTTTTGACGACGAGAGCTGCGCCGAGATCCTGCCAGGGCACGCAGCGGCTACGCTAAGCTAGAGAGACTCTCTCCTACGGCCTGACGCACTACATCGACAACTTTTGCTTCACCACGGCGCATCCTGTCGCATCCCCGTCCAGCAGAGAAGAAGACATTGCAAAGCCGTGACGCAGAAGTCGGTGCCTTGCCTTGCCTTGCCTTGCCTTGCCTTGCCCTCCCCATTCCAGTTTGTGCAAGTCGGCCGACTCAACCCAGGACCGACTGCAACAGAACAGTGTGCAGCAGCGACTGTCATGCTACCCGCGCACGCTCGTGTCGTAGCCTTGTGAATGACGACGACCACGCCGACGTCGACAAGGTTGACCGTCCCTACCTCCACCGTCGCGCCCTTCCCAGGCCCTCGCTGCATGTCCCATCCATCGCCATGTCGTACTACGGAAACGGCCAGAGCTACTACAACCCCAACATCCCTCACTCGAGTGGCAGCCCCCAGGGCCAATATCAGGACTCATACACCCGCCCCACTCCCAGTGTTGACAACGGAGATCAGACGAACGGGGGCGCCGCGGGCTATGGCTATGCCCAACCTGCCCGGCGCAACAGCATGGCCGCCCGCCAGAACGACGAGCTGTTCATCGGTGACAGCAGCTCCCCGCCGCTGAGCCAGGGTCCAACGTCGCCCACAGTGGGCACGTACAACGCGAGCTACGGCTACTCTTCGCAACCACAGTCGCAGCAGCAGTACAATCCACAAACCTACAACGCCCAGCCCATTGCTCTGCCGAACCCCTCGCAGTACGGCGGTGTCAACAGGGTCTTTGCGCCTACCGTCTCGCCCTCGCACCAGCCCTATGTGCCCGCTGCGTATGCCGACAACAACCTGGGCCGGAGTGGCACTGTCAGCCATCCCTATGGCTTCTCGCCCACCTCGCCCACCGTCTCTTATCCCTCGCCCAGCACATACCAGAACCCGCAGTTTGGGCGCGCAGGCCCCATGCAGGGACGGCCGTCGGCATATTCGACCCCAGCAGCCCCATCCCTGCCCGCGATAACAGCAGGCAGTACCCAACTACCGTCCGAAGACTGGGGCAACTATCCAGCCCGACACGCCTCCAACGCCTCATCGGGCTACTACTCGTCAACCACTTCGCACGCCCCGCTACCCTCTCCGCCAGGCTACGATACGTGCTATGCCTCGCAGCCCCGCAACGACCGACTCACCTCTCTCTCCAGCCTCCATACAAGTCCTCTACCGCCTACGCCAGAGAACCCCGCCCAGACTTCTCCACAGCGCTCGAGCACCGTGTCCTCCCGCCCCCTCCCTCCTCCTCCGCAGGACTCGGACAGTGACGAGTACTTCGTAACATCCAACGGGCATACCTACCAGGATGATCTCTTTGACGATGTCATGAACATGACGGCAGGCGATCAGCCGCTTCCGGGTCGTCAAGCCAATGGTGGACAATACTACAACAACGAACACCACTCTACCGGCAGGAACGGAGAGCATGTAAATGGCAATCGGCCAGCCCCTTACCCCATGGACGAGACCTATACGAGCGACGAGAGTGATGCAGAAGCAGCTGCTGGAGTGGCTGCACTAAAAATGGCCGAAGACCAGGATAGGGCCGACGAAGCCCATAGACGCAGTGGAGGAATGGGCTCGTTCGGCACACACTCGTCCTACATATCAGCACAGCCTCCAGTAGATACTAGCCAGCAAGCCTCTGGAAGCGCAAGTGATAGTGATTACGTTGGTGTTGACGTGAGCATGTTTGGAGGTGGCTTCATGCCCTCTTTCAACTATGGCGGAAATCCCAGCCAGCTGGCGGGCGGTAGCCAAGGAGTATCGACATCAGGATCGCAACACCGTTCCGAAGCAGCAAGCGACGACTATGACCCCATCCACCCATTTCCGTCATTTTCCACGAATGCACGGGTCGACACATTTGGAACTGGGGGCTTAGAAGAGCCCAGTGCAAGACGGCGCAGCTACGACGAAGGCGACGAGGTCACCCTCATGGACACTGCATCTGCATTATCCGGCTCTACTCTCTCTGGCCCCATGTCTGCGATGCCTGGTGAGCCTCCAGACATGTTCTATCACCCAGGCATATCGAATCGGCCACTTCCACCACCACCGATGAACACCCACCATATTAGTCACCAAAGTACAGGCTCCACAGGCTCCTATGAATATTGGCGCAACGCACCTTCGGCACGCGGCTCATATCCGGTCGATGCCAATGATGTTCACATGGCCTCACCTAGTGGCACACAGGTGCCTCGATCGACATCATTGCTTCAGCATAGCAACGCTCCCACTGCGATACCACTTCCTAGATCAAAGACGGACGCCGAACAAGGGCACAGGATACGGCAGAATGCGAACCGAAATACGTTCTACGGAGGTGCGTTGGATAGCGATGGCAACACAATGACTCCCAACAGCGCAGAAGCAGTAGCGATTGATTTGCCTACTCTTCCAGTCGGCAAGCGGTTCAATCCAGCCAAATTGTCGACAAACGACTTCAAAAAGTGTACAGAGCCATGGGCCCTCAGTTCCATCATTGCCTGGCTCAAAACAATGACCGAGGGAGAGAACGATCTCAAAGAAGGCCCTATACAAGATGGGCTCATCGCTCTCTTCACCCACAAGGTGCCCACCATGAATATAGCTGATGCTGAAACACTAAGTGCTCGCGTGGTATCAGAAATGTACAAAGCAGGTACCCTGGTCCATGAAGAAGAATGGTTGAGATTTTCCACTGCAAGCATGACTGGTGTCATCTTTCAGCTCACTGGTGCAGGTTGTTATGCGCCGATGCTACATACACATGTGAGCCCTGGTCGCTGTTACTCGCATCATTGCCAGAGGACGTTGAAGAAGATTGATCTGAGTTCGCAATCCGCTGCTCACAAGCAAGAAGACTGGGTAACATTCCACAAGCTGAAGAAGGAAGACCTCGAGGGTGCAAACAAGAAGGAAATTGAGCGCCAGAATATCCTTCACGAAATTGTGCAGGGTGAGGACAATTATATGGAGCGTATTGATGTATGGCGACGCCTGTATCGAGATCGGCTCATCTCTGCGCAACCGCCTGTCATTCCTCCCAAGAAGCTCAATCGATTCATCAACGATATCTTTGGAAAGCTGGAGGCAGTTCGAAAGGCAAATGAAGATCATTTGCTGCCTCAGATCAAGTATCGACAACAAGAGCAGGGCCCCTGGATCGTTGGATTCAGCGACATTTTCCGAGAATGGATCAGAAAAGCAAAGCATGCTTACATTGAGTATGCTGCAGCATTTCCGTTTGCGAGTTTCTTAGTACGACAAGAAGCCGACAGAAACATATTATTCCGATCATTCCTGGACGAGGCTCAAAAGAACAAGCTATCAAACAAGCTGGGTTGGGATACCTATCTGAAGGGACCCATTGATAGGCTACAGCGTTACGGTCTACTCATCGACACCGTGCTTAAGAACTCAACTGTCGATAACGAGGAAAAGCGCAACCTGCAAATCGCAAAGGAGGAGATCAAGGCTGTGACCCTGGAGTGCGACAGTCGAGTCGCAGAGATGGGACGAAAAGTCAGTTTGACAGATTTGCAAGCCAAACTCATTCTGCGGCCTGGCATGCAACGGGTGGAACTCAATCTCGATCATCTTGGGCGTGAGCTGATCTTCCGTGGTGATTTGCACCGAATGGGAGGCAGCCGGTTCAACTGGCTCGAAACACATGCTCTGCTTTTCGACCATTACCTGGTACTGGCCAAGACCGTATCGTTTCGTGAAGCAGATGGAGTGACCAAGTCAGAGAAGTATGATGTGTCGAGACTTCCCATACCTATGGATCTGCTTGTGCTAGAAAGCGAAGACGACGACCCAGTTGTGCGCTCCTCTATGAAAGGTATTTCGACAGTCACAACAGTCGCAGGACGAGTCTCTGGTGCAAATCCAAGTCGAGGCAGCAACAGTCCAGGGCCTGGATCGCTTCAACATACAAACACCGCGAATTCTCTAGGGTCCACCAATACTGGGTCGTCCGGTAAGACAATGGTCAACACGACAAGCATTGATTCCAGCCGAGATGAAAAAATATTGTACCCGTTCAGAGTGAAGCATCTTGGCAAGGAGACCTACACGCTGTATGCATCATCTGCGCAGAACCGTGCAGAGTGGTGTGACAAGCTCATCATCGCGAAGACACGACATGCGACAGCATTGTTTGCGCAAAATGCCGAGCCCTTCCGTCTACGCGTCATGGCAGATGCGGCATTTGCCTATGATAGTGCAATGCCATCGCAACGTGCCATCACAATCAAGGGTACCCCACTGGACCGAGCTGTAGAGGAGGTGGAGAAGCTCTTCGTAAACGTGGGCCGTCCCGTTCCCATCTGTCGAGCTCGCGTGAATTGTGCGACTGCATTCAACCAGCCATACGGAAAGCACATGGTCGCTGTTGGTACAGACATTGGTGTATACGTCTCTGAGTTTGATAACCCCAGAGGCTGGTCAAAGGTAGGCGCAGCATATTACTCAACACTACAAACTCATGCTGACCAAGTTAGGCTATACAAGTCCCAAGAGTAACGCAAATTGCTGTCCTCGAGCAGTTTAGCTTGATGCTGCTTATATCAGACAAGTCGTTGATTGCCTACCACCTGGATGCCGTATGCCCTGTGGGTGGTGTTGCACCCAGCAGTGACTCGTCACGCAGAGCACCCCAGAAGCTCTCGGGAGCTCGTGACATTGGCTTCTTCGCCACCGGTGTTATGAAGGATCGAACGCTGGTCTTTTACAAGAAGCGCGATGGCATATCATCGACCTTTAAAGTTCTTGAACCCGTGTACCAAAAGTCTACTGAGAAGAGGTCGCGCATGTGGAAATCGGGGCGCACCGAGTTCTTCCGCGAGTTTGACGAGTTCTACATTCCAGCGGATTGCTTTACCATCAACCTTTTCAACACTACGCTTGCCATCTCTACCGCAAAGGGCTTCGAGGTCATGACTCTCGACAAGAAACAACCATGGTCGGTTCCGGATTTGAAGCAGCCACACGTCGCTACCATTGCGTCGCGACTTCAGAACCAAGATCCACTTGGCATGTTCCGTCTCTCGGATCAAGAGTACCTCCTCTGCTACGAAGAGTGCGCCGTGTACATCAACAAGACGGGCGAAATCTCGCGGTCCGTCATCATGGAGTTTGTGGGCAAAGCAAAACACGCAGCCATGTATGGACCGTACGTCTTGCTCTTCGACCCAGACTTTGTCGAGATCCGCAATGCGCAGAATGGGCGCTTGAGGCAGGTGATTGCGGGACGCGATGTCAAGTGTCTGGATGACGGGCTGAGCGGTGGCTCCACCCATAATCGCACAATCAAGTTGAGCCTGCAGCATCCGCATCAGGAGAGATGCCAGGTCGTGGTCGAGCTGGTCTTGAACGAAGGACAGAAGGAGTAAGGGGGAGTGGGGAAAGATATACCTTTCTTGTGGCTTTGGCTCTTGGGGAAAACGTACTTTTTTTTTCTTTGAAGGGGGATAGCCGCGAAGCGAGCATACAAAAACCGACAGGTATAGAAGGTGGGGAGTCGTGGAGTCGAGGTGTTTGATCGGGTTGACGCAGAAAACGGCCGTTTTGCCTTGGAGTAGACTTTAACGGCCTTTTGTACTTACCCGGATATGGGGTGAGAGGACACTGTCATGTGCACCTCATCATCTGGTGTTGGTGAGCGGCGCTTTTTGGTTGCAGCATTGTTAACACAGAGGGGATGGTTTGGGTCGTCGTGCATGCACGCGTGCTTTTGGTGGAGTGTTGACAGTTGTACTCTAGTAAATACTCGAGACTATCTTGGCATCCAGTCCGCAGTGCGGGCTTTTTTATGCTTGGAGATATTGCGCCAAAATACCACTTTTTTTTTGTATTGTTTATTTAGTTATCTAGTTCTGTCGCGTGGGAATTACAACACACATGCCGCCTTATCTCACCCCCTCTCCATTCTTCCAGCGTAATACTCTTGCGTAGAAGTAACATGGCCTCGCCATCGCAAGATAAACTCCCACATTCCGGCAGACCAAGGTTAGCAGCGGCGAGACTTGCCCACCGTACCGTACGCAGAGCTCGGACTCGCAACGATGTCCTGTCTAGATCACGGCAACGCTCTAGCACACGGCGCCGGTGCTATCTGTGACGGGCGCGCGGGCGGGCACGGGGCGCGCGATGGGAGGGTAGGTTAGATGCGGTTGGGGTGAGTGGGCATTCCGAGAAACGCTCCGGGTGCTGGGTGGGTGTGCAAGCTAATGTGGTGGCGCTGGCAATGTCATGGAGCTCTGGATGGCTGGGGATGGAGTGTGTACAGTAGTTTTAGAAGGGGAGGAAAGATGGCTAGAAGGGCGCTAGAAGGGTGTTGTTGGGGTGGGGTTTGTTGTGATGTGTGGTTGTGGTGTAGCTGCAGGGTGTGGTTTACATACTGTTGCTGTGTACTTGGTGCAGACATGTACTGTGTAGAGGGATTGAACGAGAGGAGTATGATGGGGGTGTGGGATCTGCGGTGGCGAAGAAGCCTTGTGGTCTTGTGGTGTCGCGAGATTGACAGGATGGGATAACTATACCTAACTTACTCTACCTAGGGTGAGAGACTTCCTCTACTCTGGCGGTCATGATAACATCAAACATTCCAAGAGTAGCCACCAAAGACCCTATCAGCTTCAAGACTCTTGCTTTGCCTGCAGAGAAAGTCAATGAAGCGATAATCGAATAGGAATGAATTTCCTCACGATGAGAAACGCATGTGCGCCTTCATCAGACTGGCATTTCAGATTCTCATCCAGGCGCATCCAGTGTCTATTCCACAACGCTCACATCCCCAGATCCGAGGCCGTGTGAAGTACCAGTCCAGTGCTCTGACGGATAGAGCCTCAACATTCCTGCGGTGCAGTGTCGCGTGCACGATCCGAGCGCTGGGGTGGCTGTACTGTGTGTACACATATGTACAGTACGCTGAACACCATGCTCGCCACTGGCGCTAAGCAGGATCATGGACTACTTGACATGGACTCAAGAACGCGTCCAGAAGCTTGAAGATGCTGCTTGGCATGCGCACACCAGTCAGGCTGACAAGTCTCTCTCTTTTGCTGGGAAGCCGCGTGCATGGCAATAAGGCTTGGGAGTTTGCCTCTTTCAGAGATCAACAGCCGGGTACCGTACCGGTACTTGGAGCGATGTCGGATGAAGATAGATCTGGGGTGAGCAGTCCCTCCCACATGTTGATCCCATCGTGAACCAGATGTATCAAAGTCTCCCCATAGTCCAGGCTATCGGAGCAGAGTAAGCCAATAAACTGTACACTCTCCATGGGGTTGGCTTTGCAAGGCGGGAAGGGGGAGAGGAACATTCAACAAGCTGCCCTCGTGTTGCTTTTGCACTTGAGGCTCAACAGCCCAAGTGGAGAATGTCTGCGAGGGCTGCATACACGCCATTCATCCCCTGCATGGAAGCCCTATCCCGTCTTGATTGGCTGTACCGGTGTAGATCCATCAGACGATGGCTCCCGGCCGCTCTTTCGGTGGGAATCTGGCATCCAGAATCAGACTGAACTTCCGAACTTCAACCCCACCACTCACAACACGATAGTCACTACTGTGTTACACCCGCATTCCTGCTAAGAAAATTCTGCGGAGAGCCGGGGTCTAGTGTGCGGGTGAGGTGCGGTACTAAGATGGGATAAGCACGCCAGCCCAGCGCCAGCCCAGCCGTGTCTAACCTGAGTAGGGAGAACAACCCTCTGGTTGAAGCAGCGCTACCATCATCAATGTCGTCCTACCGACGCACTATCGACCATTGCACTGAGTGTGGATGGTGCCAGCCAGTTGCACAGCGGTCATCACATCTCCATCGCCTGGAATGCTGGGGGTCGATATGCATATAGCCATGGGGTCGTCCCCTTAGATTCACTTCCACTCATCAGCTCTCCGCTTCTCCAGCTTCGAGACTCTCATTTTGGGATCTACTCACTTTTGCTTCGCCTTCATCATGAAGTTCTTTGGGACGAATGGCTCGCAGGAGCCGACTATTGAGCAGGTTCACGAGCAACAAGATCGTCGTCCTTCGCTCGTAGAAGTTCAAGAGAACTCAGCTCGCCGCAAGAGTGTGGACAACCACGTTCTTACCGGTGCAAGTGCTTTGACTACTCGTCAATCCATTGTACCTGTCGTCCTGGTCACTAGCCTCTTCTTCATGTAAGCCCATCCAATGGAGTTTTGAAAATCATAGCAGACGCTGACTGCTTCCAGGTGGGGATTTGCCTACGGTCTTCTCGATGTCCTGAATTCCCGTTTCCAGGTCGCCCTTCACATCACCCAGGGTGAATCTTCCGGTCTCCAAGCTGCCTACTTCGGCGCCTACTTTGTCGGTCCCCTCACATACTCTGGTTGGTTCCTGCGCAAGTTTGGATACCGCTACACCTTCATCCTGGGTTTGTCCATCTACTGTGTCGGCGCACTCATGTTCTGGCCTTCAGCCGTCAAACGAAGCTTCGGTGGTTTCTGTGGTGCCATGTTCCTTGCTGGTTCTGGTCTCTCCACCCTCGAAACATCTGCCAACCCCTATATTGCTGTCTGCGGTCCTCCCAAGTGGTCCGAGTTCCGTCTTGAGTTGTCCCAGTCCGTCCAGGCTGTCGGCTCTGTCATCGCCCCCGTGCTCGCCGGCCAAGTCATTTTCAAGAATGTTGGTGAGGATGGTCGTTCCCTCGAGGCTGTCCAGTGGGTTTATCTTGGTATCGCCGGCTTTGTCGCTATCCTGGCTGTCATTTTCTACTTCGTGCCAACTCTACCAGAGATTACCGACTTCGATATGGCTGCTCAGGCTGAGGTTATGACAAGCGCAACAAACTATGTTGACAAGCCCCTGCGCAAGCAATACACTCTCTTCTGGGGAACTGCAGCGCAATTCTCCTACGTCGCTGGCCAGGTCGGTGTTGCCGCCTATTTCATCAACTACTTCGCCGAGGCACGTCCCGATCTCAACGTCACAGAGGGTCATCGTCAGGGTGCCAACTTCTACGCCATTGCCCAAGGTCTCTTTGCAGCTGGTCGTTTTGCAGCAGCTGGCATCATGTACTGGGGTGGCAAGCCTCGCTACGTGCTTCTAGTGTTCCAGACCCTCATCATGATCTTCATCTCCGCCGCAATCGGCGTCAACACAGGTGGTGCCAACAACCCCAACTGGGGCGGTCTCTCCATGCTCATGATTGTGCTCTTCTTCGAGTCCTGTGTCTTCCCCATCATCTTCGCACTGACCCTCCGAGGACTCGGAAGGCACACAAAGCGCGGAGCGTCCTTCCTTGTCTCCTCAGTCTGTGGTGGTGCGGTGGGACCCGTCATCTTAGGCAATGTCGCCGACAGCATCGGCACGAGGAAGGCCATGTGCATTCCTCTCATCTTCTTCTTCATCGCATGGTCCTACCCCATCTACCTCAATCTCTACAAGGGCACGGAGCTCGATGCTTACACTGAGTCTCACGTTGGCCTTGCGGAGGATCAAGTCGACAGTGACTCCATCATGGCTAGCAAGGAGATTGAGTCTGTTCGCTTCGAGTCCAAGGCTTAAGAGATTTGAGATGGTCGTGGGCAATATGGGGTTTGGCTAGGAGTTGATGCAGCGCACATGAGTTCGGATGATACCTGATTACGGCGTTTTTTGGGCGGGGGGGCAAAAGGGGACGAAGGACTTCCTCATGGCTGAGGGAAGTCTTGTATATATTATGGCTTTTGCATTATACATATAACAACTGTACAGAGATAGAAATTTCTTTGGCTTACGAATGTTACGATATGACTTTTTTCAAACGTCGCATGTTTCGACGACTGTTCGAACACTTTGGTCGCTTGAGTCTTCACGGTGATGTCCACTAGAGGCAGTGTTTTGCGTTGTGAATAGGATCACAATTTTAGTTCGTTCGCCGCAAGCTGCTCTGTTATGTTGAAGTGGATGGGTTTACTTCTTGTGTGACTGGTGATGCTGAGAAGGGTAGGTAACGGGAGATGGGACTGTGTAGCTCTTGTTACTTCTTGTCGGGCTCGTAGGGAGGCATGGCGTGTGTTTGTCATGTATCTCTCAAATCAAGTCGAGATCGTTTATAATGCATCGTGATGGTGCTGCGTTCCTGGAGGACTTTGTGGAAGCAAGGGAGCTTGGGAGTGATAAGTTATGGGGGGTGGTTTGTGCATGCTTGGTCGCGCATCTACCTAGATTGAAAGGTGGTAACGAGGCCTTTCAGTGCGCAACCAGTCGGTACCTAGCAGTGGACAGTGAGGTACCGGTACTGCAGAACATCTGGGGAACACGTGAGCGACCCAGGGTGCTCCTGCCCCGAGCCGAATCTTCTACACACCGACCACCAGTTCTCTACTCCACTCTATGGGACTACCCACAACAAGATCCGCATGCTTTGTGTTGAGTACCGCATCACATACATCACGTACAATATGAGATACTCTGCAGGAGATGTGAATGATGGAGAGAGTATTTTCGTCAAAACTCGTCAAAAAATGTATTCATCTATCATTATCATTCCCGCTCAATCACTGGCTCAAGCTAACGTTTACAGAGTATACCGGAAACCCTCTAGACCCTCAATAATCTTGCCACCGGCATTTGCCCGCTTGTTTGCCAGCCAAAATTTCAGGTTCAACAAGCACGTAACCAGGATGATCATGGCCCCAGCAATCATGCACGCAATGATTCCAGGCTTGTAATGAGGGGCATCCTCTGTGCGGAAAACAGTACCCCCTATCACTCCTCCTACCCCACCCATTCCCACTAAAGTGGCTGAACAAAGTGCTCGTTTCCATTGGCCTCTGATGTTGTTTGCTTGCCAAGTCAATATGCACGGAACGTTTGCATTGGCAGCAGCAGTTGCCAGAAAGACACCGAAATATCTGGCGCCCACCGATGAACAGAATCCCATCATAGGAAGGCCAATCAAGGCAAGGACACCGTTGCAGATGACCCATGGAGACCTCACACGGTACTTGTCTCCTAGCCAAGCCATGACCATCATGACCATGCCAGCGAAGACATATGGGGGAGCAATAAGACAATTCGCAGCTGCTGGACTGAACCCCATACCGTCTTTGAGGATGATGGGCAAGAAATAAGCGATGGCGTAGGTTACCGTGGTGGTCATCATGAAGATCAAGGCAAAGCCCCACACCTTGAGATCGAGCGCACCCTTGCAGTACTTGGCCAAATTAAACTCCTCAGCAACGACATCGTGGCGGTCCTCCTCGATTCGAGCGACGATGAAGTCAACCTCGTCTTGGTCGAGGAACTTCTTCTGTAGGGTGCTCGACTTGGCGGCCAACTCCGGGAAGTCAACTATAAAGTACCAACCAACCAGACCGATGGCGATGGTGAGGACACCCTGAAGGATGAAGATATATCGCCAACCCGCAAGACCGGGACCGAAGCTGACGGGTGTAAGTGGTGCCTTCTTGGTGGGCCCGTGATGTACACCAAGCCAGTAGGCAGCCTGATAACCCTTGCCACTGAGAAGCGAGAAGAGATATCCGAGGATTCCAGAGAAAGCTGACGACATCATGCCAATGAGGAAGAAGACTGTGTTGCGCTTTTGTAGCTCGAAGCGTTTGTACCAGCATGAAAGTAAGTATGCAGAGCCTAATTGAGGTCAACAATGTTCGAAAACATACGACGAAAGGTACAGAATAGCTTTTTAGTGATCATCAGGAATGGTGTGAAACGTACCTGGGAAAAAACCAGCCTCGAAGATACCAAGAAGCAGACGAAGTGGAAGGAGAGTGTGCCATTCTTTGACAAATCCGACACCCACGGTTACGGCTCCCCAGAGAATAACAATCGAGGGGAGGAAATTACGGGGACCAAGCTTGCGAAGCACAACAGTGGCTGGTGGCTGAAGTGCGACATATGTGATGAAGAACAGTAGGACAATAATACTGTATCGCTGTCCAGTGAGCTTGAGGTCGACGCCCATGCCGGCAACCATTGCAACACCCAGGTTGGTACGGTCCATCAAAGAGACGCAGTACATGAATCCCAATGTTGGAATAAGTCGAAGGTCGACCTTTCTAATGATCTTCTTCTGCTGCTCAGTCGTGAACTGGTTGATAGCTGCAGCATTGCCGGAGGAATCTGAGTCGATGCGTTCGATAGCAGTTGTGTTACCCTTCTCGAGGGAAGTGGAAGACATGACAAAAGTATTTGCACACCCAATACTAAAAGAGATAGAAGAAGAGCAATTGATGAGGCTCCAATGCTTGGAGGTGATAGACAAGACGAATCTCAGAGGGAAGGACAGTGCTCATATACAACTCCACACATCCACTTGTGGAAACCTGACTTCCCCAGATCACTCCTGCAGTTGCCTCCACAATACCCCAGGTTCAGCACTTGCTCACACTTATCCAGCCCCTTCAAGAACATTAGTAGACTGGAATTCATCGAAATGTGAGCCAGGCCCATCACCAAACCTCCAGAAGGGAGGGCTCCGATGCCATAGCTTCGGGGACGCAAGCCCAACCCGGTAAGTGTTACACAGCCGCCATAATACCAAGCAACATAGCAGATATCCGGACCCATTACAATGGCGGTGCCAACTCCGGGGCCAGTGATAGCTCATAGTGGCGCACGATGGTGCACTTTTCGACACGCTGTGGACCGTCAATCTGGGGCGCCCCGAGTCCAACCCCGCGTTTCAACACCAAAGTCACGATGCAGATCTAGAGTTTACTCAATCGGGCTTGGAATTCCCTTTGGAAACTGGATTTGCCAATGCTGAGCTGTGCCTAGGCATGTGACTAAGCCAGTAGTAGGCCTCTCTGGCGCTAACATGCACGCCACTCATAGCCCAGGCCCTCCACACCTCCCAGAAGCTTGACTACCCTTGCCTGCTTAGTCTGCCATCCGACGACGAATGGATGGTTTTCCGCAGAATACCATGGTGTATGCGACTATGAGAGTGTAGGCTTCACGATGGCGGAATCTTTCCACGCAAGTAGCCGGTCACGAAGCCAGGGCCAAGAGTGTGGCCAGCTCGTATTTGCTGGTTACCTTGGAAATATCACTGCAAGAAGCCACATTCAACAGCCTCACGGTCCCTCCTGGCAGTATATAGGTTTCTTAATACGCCGCGCTGGGATACCAGACTACATGACTGAAACTGTTAGACTTCGTTACCCACGTGTCTCAGAAGCTTCCTCATGGTCTTAGCAGATCAAGTGACAGTCACAATGCACCCAACCTGATGGTAACCAGTCCCTTCAAAGCGCTGGTCCTTCTGTCCTACACCAAAAAATGTTGTGGTACCTCTAATGGACGCTAAATCGTCGCTTGCAATTGCAGTCCTCCACATGGACTTTGATCCTTTGGCATCCGGAACAGCTCCGCAGTCTGCAGAGCTCGTCAGTTACCCCTCTACTATGAAGTGGTGCAGCATCCCGGTAACCTTCCCTATCATGCCGCAATACTGTAGAATCCAATGAGAGTTCTTTTTCGCCTTGACGGTTCGATAGTCCAGAACATGGCCCTTGAAACACAGCGATCGATGATGTGATATGCAAAATCATGCGTGTACTGAGCACAACGAGATTCAGCCACTTCTTGCCATCATTCTCTGCGGTGTAGAATGTATCTCCACATAGCAGAAGTATGGTGCCGGGCTCATAACTTGTTGGGATTGGTGCGGTGTAGCATGTTGAACCAAAGTCTCTGGGAGATATGATTGGCGGGTTGAAGTGACTATCCAACCTTCTAGGTATTACCTATACCGGTAGAGGCAGGAGATGGAATCGCTACGTTGGTCGCGCCAGCTAATCAAGTTAGTGCAGCATCGATCATAGCAACTACATATAAGGGTAAAGTACGCTCGAGAGTGGGTTTCAGAGAAAAGAAGCAAGTGCACAAGCATCTCTGGCAAGTAGGAAAATAACGGCGTCTTTTGAAACTTTTCCCGTGATACCGGTAGGTAGTGATTGTTGGATGCGAGTTCTGTTCGCTTGTGGTTGTGGTCGATTTAATCTTGAAGTAGACTTGAACCAGGATCCTGAAAAAGAAACAAGACTTTGTGGCTATGCTTTGCTAGATTGTGGGATCATTAGTCAAAAGAACCAAGGTTAACTTGATAGATGTCACAGCTGCTTTGTTCTTCCGCATCGATGTTGATTTTTTCGGCAGATATGTTTACAAGACACGGACACATCGTAGTAATCTAACCACTGTTCACAATCTCAGCATGCACACAACACAACCTCATGTCTCTGCCCAGCGCCTCACAAAGGTGCATTGCAACCTGGCATCTGCGGCGATTCTTCCATTGTCGATTTGCCCTGGGCATACGATTTTGGCTGCGAAGTTTGAGTCGTGCAGTCCGAGATGTGCAAGCGGATATCTATATGTCTTGAAGTCGCCAATGATTAGTATGTGGATGCAGTACTAAAGGCAGCTGGCTTTGCAGTGGCTTGTATGGGCAATTTAGGGTTGGGGTCAGTGCCACTGTGCAAGGATGCCGTTGGAGATGCTGGGATGAGTATGAGTAGTATAACTTCGGCGCACACGATATAATCTTGTCTTTATCATCCTTTCAGAGCTTCGCGCTAGGTACAATCAGTGCATTAGTCTTGGCCAACACATCAATCACATCCCTCTCCATCGTCTTGACCAAGTCCTCACACGTCGGAATATCGTGAATAAGGCCGGCACACATGCCTAAACTCCACACTCCGGCGTCCACATCGCCCGTCTCATAGACACCCTGGCCCCGCTTGCCACTCATCAAGTGGGCAACATCCTTGAACTCGACATCCTTCTTCTCGTTCTCAATCTTGACAACCTCGAGAGACACCTTGTTCTTGTGCAGACGCGAGGTATTGCGGAACTTGCGCAGACACAGGACGGTGTCGTTTTCTGTGGCGTTGACAATGGCCTCTTTGACTTTGTGGTGGATGGGCGATTCGACGGTGCACATCCACCGCGTGCCCATGTTAACACCGGAGGCGCCCAGCGCAAGGGCCGCGGCTACTTGTCTGCCATTCGCAAAGCCGCCAGAGGCAAGGTACGGGATCTTGAGCTGCTCGGCGCAAAGGGAGAGGAGCATGAGTGACGTCGTGTCGTACTCGCCGCCATGACCCGCGCATTCAATACCATCAATCGAAATACAATCTACGCCCAGCTTCTCCGCCCTCAACGCATGCTTCAACGTCACGCACTTGTGAAACACCGTGACATTATTATCTTTGAGATAGCGGAGAACCGGGCTTGGGTCCC